GTTAGATATAGATTAAATAAAAGTGAAATTTCCAGGCCGCCAGAAATCCCACTTGACCGGGAGCCAATCTTGAGTTTGACTGCGCAGAGATTGACTGCCGTTTGAGACCGGCAGCCGATGGACGGATGCTGCCATCACTGAACCTGATCTAGCGTGAGCCCTCGTCACTGTTTGCCTTAGCCGTGGCATCAGCGATCTCTTGAGGAATCTGCGCCGCCTGCGCCCAGCTGACGATTTTGCATCGATCGTTGGGGCATCAGCTCTCCCCTCTACCTCGCTCACAACCCACATGTCCCCTACAGCTTAGTGAAACCCTCTTACGAAAGGAAGGCTAACGGAAGTCTTCAACTGTGGGACAAATAAAATAGGGCCACACACACAGGTGGTGGTGGGTATATAAGGTCTGATGGGCTCAATTCTTCTTCGCTTTCTTTAGGGATGTAATTGGGTGCAAGTGGAGGCTAGCTGAGTGAGCAAGCAGGGTCGCGAACACTGGAGAGACCATGTGCAGGCAGAGCTGCTGAGAAAGAGCAGAGGCCCAGGATACCTGTGAGGAGGTGAACATTTACCCCCTTATTACGGTGCGGCGTTGAGCGCTGGGTGGAGCATGGTTCACGGTGGTGTTGGTGGACCCAGTAACAAAACCAATAATAGTGACAATATACGGGTAGTTGATACCATTTCAGTTACTCTATATTATCGACGTGTAGTTGGCATATTTCTTTTTAAACAATTTTGATAGTATTGTTTTGAATGTTTGTGTCACTAAGTGAAACCAGAGTGATACTGTGATTTGATTCTTTTTGAATGCATTTAATTTTTCTCCTTTTATAATTCCAATTCCGCATAACCTTTGTTCCTGGCAGGAGTATGTTTAAGCTGAAGGGATAGGAAGTGTGCATCTGTTGGGTGGATATAATTTTGTTGGAGTGCCCTTAAGCCTATTCATTGTAGAGTATTTCAATTTTTATTTTTACACATTTCCTCAGTGACTGATATTATGTTGCTGAAAGCCCCGCGTCACCCATTGTAGGAGTATTTTAATTTCTTATTTTTAAGCGTCACATTTCCCTCAGTGGACTGATATTATTTTGCTTGAAAGCCCTTAAGGGCCTATTCATTGTAGAGTATTTAATTTCTGGCATTTTAATACCATCTAAGTGAGTTTTCTCCTTAAGGCCTGTTTCAGCGTAAAAAGTACAACATTTCTTAATACTTCAAATTTTATTTGCTGTTTGAGTTTCTAAATAATTTCTATATCATGTATAACTTTATTCCCAGAGTAGTGTTTTTAAGTTCAAGCAGAGGTGTCGGTATTGGTGTTCATTATTTGATTGTGTTTGTGCGTGTTGAGGGAATATAAGTGTTCAATTTTACAGTGTAAGTTCTATTCATCCCAGCTCATGACACTATCCTTCCACGGGTCATTGACAATTCATTTTGTTTAGTAGATTTAAGGGGCGCTTTCCACTGCCATTACCATCTTATAATTTAATGTCCCAAGTCAAGTGAGAAAATAAAGTCCAGTTAAATTCTGGACCGCCAGCAAATGCAGAAGCAGAGCTGAGTTATTTTATTCTCGTGACTGATAGTTCTGTGGTTGGATAATGAGCGTAATTATGGAGCGGATGGAAACGGTAGAGAGTGTGACCCCAACTCACTCATGCTCACTGGAATGGGTTTGTTGTGGCTGGACTGTGGGGGTTACCGGAGAAAAGGGAGACATTCCGGGTTGGTACAGTTGAGAGAAGAGCCCTGCAACGGAAGCTAGAGGGGAAAAAAACTGGAGAGTACTAGAACATTGGAATGCTGAAGGGAAGATCACAGGAATGTCAGGCATGTGCTTAAACCAAATCAGGGGGAGTGCGAGTATATAAACATAAGGGGGGAGTACCACACACACAATTGCAACAGTGAGAAGGAACATCAAACAACACCTGGTTCTGTTGGGGGATGCACTAGATAGGGTAAAGACACAGTATCAAACACAGCACGATGAGACAATATGGGAGAGAGGAGACACAATAGCGAAAGAGAGGAACCAGTCTCGGGCCGGTTGACCCGTCTAAGTTCGGATCGCGAGCCGCGAACAGAGGCAGGCGCGGTTAAAGAGAGGCTGGACCGAACCCTGCCGCACGAGATGAAGTCAGTTGAATCCACTCCGTATTGGCAGATTCGGCGGCCTGGCGGCAGATCACAAGATACAATGAACATATATCGGGAACCCGAGACGAATTAACCGGTGCTATTTGAAGCAGTAATGGCGGGCAGACGTCACCGCACGCCATCGGTGATGACCCGTGTCGAAGCGGAGCAAACGAAACGCTTCTTGAATATTGGCGCATATGCCTCTGATTTCAAACGGATGAGCCGAACTCACCATGGCCCGCAATACGATAAGGTCCCCGCCGGGCATGAACCGGTGGGCCCAAGGAGTGAACGTTCGTTATGTGGCTGGAGAGATCCGCAAGGTCTCCTCACCTTCGTGAATGCACGAGCATCACGGGGCCAGAGAGAGCTTTAAACGTAGCACCAAGAGGCTTGAGAGTACCGCCGACTAAAAGCGAGGGAAGAGGGAGAACCGTTTCCAGGCTGGAGGCTCGATTCCCTATGCGCTGGCGCGTGGTGTATCAAGAGGGCCACCTCAGTTTCAATTGCAATTTAACAGGTCCTGACCGGTGAGTAGAGCAAAACCTAAGGGGATGATGGCAAATGGCCAGCATCATTGGGTACCACAACGAACTGGCGTCGGGAATGGTCGGCGCCAGGCAGTCCCCGCCAACCGTTCCTGGCTCCTCACCAATAGATTCCACCGGCGATGTTATGAATCAAGAGAGAGCGGACCCGCTATCGCTGCGGTTCGCGATGACAACCCAATCACAACAGAAGGTGCCCGCGCGGCCAAGCGGCATGTCCTAAGGTTTCGGTGCTGCGCAGCGGGTCGTGAAATGTGGGGCTGAAGCGATGCGGCCAGCGCGGCCCACCTCAATAAGGGTAAAAGGGGCGCCAGGGCGTGCGTGGGGTGTATTCGTAGCCCACCATGGCCTGCCGGTGGAAGTCACTGATGTAATAAGGTTTGTCCAGGATTGAGACCCAGGGTAAGGGGCAATCGCATGTCGGGGTTGTTGGGGACGAACGTGTCGGGGAGGTTGCGGAGATTCGGCCGCACATGTATCACTTGCAGGGGAAGCCAGGAGCAATCAACAGGGAAAATTCGCTTCTACGAGGTTAGGCAATTATGTGCAATAGAGGCCATCAGCCTGGGGGTATTGGGCTAGGCCATTGCAGAGGAACAGTGCCCGCAAACCTACTTTCCCTGGAGTACTCAAGCTTATGTCAGTATGTGTTCCCTCCTTAAGCCAGGCCACCAAAGAAGCAGTGATTGAACCTCTAACAATGGAGCATGAAGAAGCTGGATGCCTGGCTGGTGTGATAGTGTTGCCTACGCAGCTGTAAGAGCGGTATATATGCAGCGACCCAGGTGCTGCGGCGCACCGGTCTTGATAGTCGGGAAGAACCGAGCAACCGCGGATTGGAAAGTGGCTTCGGAATTTAAAGTTTGAGTGCTACCAGTAAAGAGGCGCAGGACAGTTCAACCGATGCCTGCACGGAGGTCAAAGTGTTCTAATTGATGTCAAGAGCGTGCAGTTAGGTGTTTAATAGAAGAGTTTAGTGATATTTTTGAAGGAGAGGGCCAGCCCAAGCACAAGTCCAGCATGAGATCCCCAGTGACCCAGACAGGCCAGTTAGGTGCTATATCGCGGAGGATCCCTCCGTTCAGGTACCAGAGGTGAAGCTTTCGTTACATTAGGGCCATTGTTAGATCAGTGGAGTAATTCAGCATAGTGAGAGTCCATACCTGCCGCCATTGTAGTAGTGGCGGCGCTTAATTTTAATTTATAAGTACCAATTATCGTGACCAAAATATGCCCGCATTTACGTTTCCTCTGCCTAGGATAATGAAACTCTGAAATCTCGACGCGCCAGTTTTCTCAAATCTGCTTGATCTGGCGGCAGGATATCACCGATAGAAGTAAAACCTTCAGACCATCCAAAGACTGCCTTCAGCACGCTTCGTGGATGTTCAAGCGCTGCGCGACTGCCCATGGGATTTGTCAACAGGTCCAACCTTCAGTGATGCTACGGAGCCGGATTTTAGGATAAGATTTCTCCTCGTTGCTTGTATACCCCATTACTTTACGGTGTTCGCCATGAAATACAGAAAGGAGCAAATTGAGGGAATTATTTTGCAGGTGAGGGAGAATAACTTAAGATTTAAACCTAAAAGTGTGGCTTCAAAGTGCAGTATTAGGAGATTGCCGTGCTGAAGGTACTCAGCTGGGATCCTGAGAAGATTAGGTAGTAAGAGATTGGCCAGTCCTCGCACAGCAGCGATGCAAAGTGGTCTTTTGTAGGGTTCACATCATTTTATAGGAAATTTGTTAAAGGGTTTGCCCCAAATAGCTGCTCATTGGGTACGTTGATGCATGTAAAACCTGGGCGATCGGGTAGATAGTGAATGAAATAAGTGAGTGAACAGCAAAACAGGGCTTTTTGAAACCGTTACGCGACGCGATACCGTGCTGGTTTGCCCCAGATTTCACCGGTGGTTTGCCAAAACAGGATGCAAAGCTCGCGGCTGTGGTGCGTTGTCCTGCCGAAGGATGGCAGGTTTAACCGTGTGCTGGTGCGCAGTCGGGGCCTGATCAGAACGTAAACATGAACAACTATGTCTCTTGCTGAGATGTTAGCAATCAAATGGGCAGTAGTGGATAAATTCAGGGATTATTCGCGGTGTCATTTCAGCCCATACAAAGATAATGTAAACCCAATTCAGTCACGCAGAAGGCTAATCCAGGGTGCTGTGGAAAGTAGGTGGAATGCGGATCTCGCTATGAACTTACGGCGGTATACGCTGTGAAGAACAACATTGTGGCGGATGGGCCTATCTAGGAATCCCGGCGGAACAGGAGGAAGATAGCGAAGAAGAGTATACAGCGATGCATGTACCAGGAGGAGTAACGCAGCGGGAAGCAACCTGTAACGCGATGGCCGCGCGGCGTAGCCAGTACGACCGGCATGGCACAAAACTGCGGCGATGGCTGGCGTGGAACCGCTGGAGGATGAGGTATAGGCGCAGCTCCTGTAAAACGACTATTTCCGCGCATGCCTGACAGAAAATCCTCGATCGTAAGAGAAAGATGCTGCCCGGGCCGCAGGATAATCTGGGCAGCTGAATCTGGCGAGGAGGTGCCAGTGTTAGCTCAAACCTGCAGGAGTTTTGACCGGAGCCGCCACGACGAGTTTGGGCACCAGCGAGATCGCACCCTGTCGCTGCAGCGGCGGAGGAGGCTCTCGCGGTCAGGCATGGCAAAACAGCATATCGCATAGCCAGCAGAGGTGTGGAGTAGCAAAAGATAGCGCCGGAAACCCCAACTGCATTTAGTAATTGATTTGCGCCAAACCACAGAGCATACTGCCGCAGATTTCACCTTTGCTGGACAAGCGGTGCAAGGATTGAGAGTGTCCTGATACTGGTTGACGATACAGTCGTTACACTTCAGCCTTTCCGGCCTGCGCTAATCAACGCAGCGCCTCGACGTGGTGCCAGATCCGGTAACGGACTCCAGTAAAACCTGAGCGACTGTTGACTGAATGGGAAGAAATTTTGGCAGTAATGGTCCCGAAACGTGCCACCTTTGGGGGCAACAGACGTCGTACGTCGCCCGCCAGTAAAATGGCGGTGAACGTTCAATCGAACTCCTGCACGGTCTACGGGCCACCCGAGAGGAAGAGGAAAAGAATAGGTGGCCAGGAGTGACCTGCAGGCAGGTGCTCGCCTATAACGCCGACCAAGATGCCACGCACAGGCCTTCCCGCCCTGTTGTTTTATCGGGAGTATATAAAACCAAACCTGCCAACGCGAATCTTGCGGAAGAAGACCCAGAGCCGTGATGGGTGATGGTGATTAGAGACCGCAACGAAGACGTGCGAAGCAGTGGCGATCAATGTTCGAGACGTAAGGAACAAACAGGTGAAAAGAGAAAAATATGTTTCCACGAGAGCAGTGGCGGGGCCAGAGGGTTCTGGCTGGAGGTCGTAAAAACAGGCTGGCGTAAGCTGCAAAACCGCTTATTTTGATACGAGATGGCAGTTACTGCCGAGGTCCGGCCTGCATTGAGCCCAGTGTATAGTGACCTGGAAGCCGAGTGGGGAAAACCGATAATCTCTAAAGGCTGCTCCAACCTCAAGCAAGCATCCTGGGAGACCTGAGGGGATGGATGAACTGAGCATGACAGGTTCCCACCGGTATTATATAAAAGATGAAGAGAAGTAGTTCAGAGGTCGATCGAGCCCAACTGAAAGACGAAGCTGACAAATTCTGCCAGCTTGAAAATGGTAATGAGAAAGCATGAAGTATTGGAGGAGCTAGAGTAGGGGCAGAGGATTGGAGAGATTTTCGCCAGCCAGAGATGTGCGCTGAGTAGTGGCTGCTGTCAGAAGCTTTGGGATTGAGAGTACGGCTTGTAACGTCCAGGCCCACCTGGGTACAATGTCAGAGGGTTAACCGCCTTTTTTACGAGGTCTTTGAGACTTACCGAGTATTGTTTTGATTACCACCTCTTAGTTCGGGCGCTGCGCGCGGTTACCGGCATTTTACCGGAGTATTGTTTTGACACTGGTTCTAGTTCAAGGGCCAGCGTGAGCATAAGCCGTTTAAAGTGGCGAATTGCGCTGTTTTTTAGGTGGCCTCTAAACGTGGAGAGTGGCAGCGGAGAAGACGTGAATGCTGCATTTTGAAAGTAAAGTACATTTTGCCTAGAACAAATTTTGGCGGGTCGTTTTCAGCACATGAGACGGAAAAGCCACCTTTTAGGGGGTCGATTTCAAACAGTTCAGAAATTTCAGAGTAATTTCAAAATGCCCCGCCATTAGCGATACTAGAGCCAGTTCAAGGTCGAGAGCCTCTGACATAGCGGTGCCAGTGGAATCCAGCCCAAGTGATATTAAATGTAATTTGGCTTTAAATTAATAACACGCGACATTCATGAAGTTAAGCGATCAGTCATTGAATCGGAAATTACTGGCAGACCGTTTATCGTCTGAATATCGTTACGGGTGTCCCAAGGAGTTATTAGTTAGGCGGAAAACATGTCACGAGGCTCTGCTTAACGCCTGGAGAGACGAGCTGCCTCCTCAGTCACGCGGAGCATTCAGACAACAAAAGATCGCCCCTGGCGCTGGCCCGCAGAAATAGTCACGGCTCAGTCACCTCAGTTGCACTATTGCATAACAAGCAAGCCCTAAGCCCTGAGATCCCACAGGGCGATAGGGCGGGTGGTAGCAACTAGGGAGCTAACAGTGAGTTCATTTCAGGCTCTAACCCCACTCGACCTGAGCTGACCGGGAGTTTGACTGGCGAGATATCGACGCCGCGATGATTGAGGGTGGCGATGTCGCCATTAAACCGGATCAGCGTGACGTAGGCCCGCCCACCGCTTTTGAAGCGGGGGTATCAAAGAATCTCCGGAGGGAATTCAGCCGTTCGGTGCCCAGCTGATGACGGACGACGCGGGGCACCGCTTCCTCGTCCGCCAACCCCGCTCGAGCGCCAGCGCGAAACCTCTGCTAACGTGGGAAGCCAAAGCGTCTCAATCGTATGAAGGCCCGATTGGCTCTACCCTTCCGCTTTATGATGTATCGGGGGTAAAGTGGAGTCGCAGCCGGAGTGACACAGGGTCGCATTTCACCGAGACCATGAGTCTGGGATACCTAGAGGTTCATTTTATCTCCCTTTATTACGGTATGCTTTGTTGGGTGGAGCATGGTTCACGGTACAGGGACCCAGTAACAAACCACATTAGTGACGCATTGGGTGGGAAGCCATACCATTTCTGCTACCGATATTATCGCGGACGTGCGGTGTAGTTTTGATATTTCTTAAACAATTTCAAAGTTTTTGAATTTTTAAACCGTTTGTGCTCACGCGAAACCGAGTGATATCGGTGGATTTGATTCTTTTTAATGCATTTAATTTTCTTTATAATTCCGATCTCAGGTATAAACCCTTTGTTCCCCTGTATGTTTAAGTTAGGTTACACCGGCCGGGGTGATATAATTTGTTGAGTGCCCTTAAGGCCTATTCACATTGTAGAGTACATTAATTTCTTACTTTGGCTTACCATTTCCCTCAGCATTATGCTGTTTTAAAAGCCCTCAGCGCCCATTCATTGTAGAGCATTACCCTCTTATTTTTATTACCATTTCAGTGACTTATATTATTCATACGAAAGTCTCTACCATTCACTGTATACTTGACTTCTTATATTACACCATTTCCTAAGTGACTGATATTACTTTGTGAAAGCCCTTAAGGCCTGTTTCATGTGTGCAAGCAACATTTCTGCATTTCAAATTTATTGTTGCCTGAGTTTAATAATTTCTGTCATGCAGCCCCATAAATCTCTTTTATCTCCCCAGAGTGTTTTGGGAGTTCACGAAGTTAGAGTGTACCATTATCGATCGTTGCGGTTTGTAGTGTTGAGGTGGCAGTAAAGGCGTTTAAATTTTACAGCGGCGTTCCCCATTCATCCCAGTCACAGACGCCGACCTTCCCGCCTATTGTTCTACTTCGTTTTGTAGATTGTTCTTGTGTTGATTTTTCTCAAAGGGGCGCTTCCACTGCCATTACCATCTTATAATCTTTAATAAACCCCAAGTTAAGTGAGAAAATAAAGTCCAGTTAAATTCCGACCGGTTACATATATACATACACAGGTGCTCCCCGACTTACGATGGGGTTTGGGACCCAAATCCAGGTCGTAAGTCCGATTGGTCGTAAGTCCGACATAGATACAAAAAATCATTTAAAAAAAAATAAAATCTACAATGAAATACAGTACAGTAAAAGTAATAAATAATGAGGAATGGATACAGTGTGACTGAGCACTTACTGTATATCTCGACCTAAAAGACGGAATTTGAGACTTAAAAAAATCAGCCCAAAATTAGGGGTCGTCTTAGGCACCAGGTATAAAATTCTTACCTCTTAAATATTGTGGTTAAGCGTGTCAAGAGTGGTGATGGGGTAAACCACTCACAAGGTCCTACCACTAATTATTTTTTACTGAAACTTACGTTTGGGAAGCTGGATTAAAATTAAGATTACCGGTATATTGAAATAATAAAAATGTATTATAAACCTGTCTAACATACTGTAAAAGAACAATACACCCCGGTGATAAACACAGCTATCATCACCCCCCCCCCCTTCCCTGCCATTTGCCAGTGACGAGACAAGGGAGTAACAGTGACTGAATGCTGTGTGGCTATTTTTAGGTATAATGGTAGCCTCCCTTTTTTGCAAAACAAGTTTATAAATTAAAGAAAATACTTGCAGCGTGTTTAATATATTACAGGTTGACTATCAAAAATCCGGCAACCTCGGGGCCTGAGGAGTGCCGGATTTTCGAAAATGCTGGAAAACTGATGGTTATATTTGCTGTATAAGTTTAACAGAAAATGACTAGGGCCTACCTGTAAAGTCCTTTAAACAAAGAAAATTAAACACTTAAGTTAGGATAATATAATTGACATTGCTGGATTCCTTGTAAGACCGGGAATATTTTGAATATAAATGTCATATATTTTGCACAAAAGATAACATATTTACTCGGAGTAAACATTATATCTAAAATTTGTATGTCTAATGCAAAATCTACAATGTTTATATTCAAAATGATCATCAAATTGTAAGAATTCCAGCAATGTAAATTATATTCTGGCTGGGTAATTTGTATGAATTTTATGAGCTAAAACAAATATGTTCAGTTAATAAAAAAAAAAATATTCTTCACGACACTATCTGTCAATCAAAGTACCCCAACTTGCCTCCCCCCCTCTTCCAACCGCGCCAGATGGTCGGTCGGTCACAACCCTCCCCCCCACCCCCCACCTTCCATCCCTACCAGAGAAATGTTGGGTGAAAAAACTAATTTTAACTTTTGGTAGCCTAATAAATAATACTTCTAACTAAAGTTGGGATAATATAATTGACATTGCTGGATTCCTTGTAAGACCAGGAATATTTTGAATATAAATGTCATATATTTTGCACTAAAGATAACATATTTATTCAGAATAAACATTAGGCCTATATCTAAAATCTGTATGTCTAATGCAAAATCTATGATGTTTATATTCAAAATGATCATCAAATTGTAAGAATTCCAGCAATGTAAATTATATTCTGGCCGGGTAATTTGTATGAATTTTATGAGCTAAAACATGTATCTTCATTAAATAAACAAAGAAATATTTGAAAATGCGCTCCGAAATCCATGCCGGAAAACTGAAGGTTCCGGTTTATCGGTTGCCGGATTTTTGATAGTCAACCTGTACAGTATATTATAAATAAATAAATAAACAAATAAATCGGTAAGTCTATTTTAAGTAAATAGAAAAATTTTACTCACACCGATTTTAGTTCCAGTTAAATAACAGACGCTTATGTGAGTCACTAGTGTTTACACTACTGTACACCAGCCAGTAAAATTTGATGCCAATAATTGAAATAAATTGACCTTATTTTAAATAATCAACCATAAATAAAAAAATGAAAAAAAGATCAAAGGTGAGAAACATTATATACTGTAAGTATGTTGTGTTGTCAAAGTAAGAGAAACAATTGAAACTCTGCATTTGTGTGTAAATGAGGCAGAAAGATAGAACAGCAACCTAAGACTTGGTCACAATTTTCGTGATGCCATATGGAAGTAGGGTTGTCGGGTACGGGATATTTGTTCACACTCAGGATGGGATGGAGAAAGGAAACTCACAATGTGCTCTCTGTATTCATATTATATTGGATGTACAATGGAGCTTGGTGCTGGGAAGGCAGCATGGTTACAAGCGTTGAGTAGAGAGAGCTGGTTGGTGAGGGTGCTCAGAGGAGGACCAGCTTGTGGGTCGCCATGGTCGCCGGCTGGAGCGGAAGCCGCTAGGCAGGAGTGGAGGAGAAGGTGTTGCTTGCTGGTGGCTGTAGGTAGAAAGAGATAGGTCACCACGAGGTGAGGTCTTATATAGCGGGGGTAGGCGTGGCTTAATAGTTGACCTCAGTCATGTAAGGCGGCGCTGGTTGCTGACCTAGACCACGAGGCATACACTGGGGAATTCGAGGGTCGGCTAGTCAGAGACAAACGGCGTTTGTAGGGGAGGAATCCACTACAGGGTCTACCATTAGACAATACTGTACATTTTGCTTCCAATATCTTCCCAGGCGGTAGAATCTCCGTTTGGTAGCTGCCTACTACCTACACAACTTTTAGTAATATTACTTTGAATCAACATGATAAATTAGACAAACAATGAAAATAAACAAACAAAAGTTATTTACCAAGACCTTCTCTCTGACAGAGGGTAAGAGATGGAGGGGAGATAAGAAGGCTATTTATAGCCATCTTTGTGTCCGAAGTGGCCTTCACTATAAATAATTCATTTAATTTTTTTTTTTACATAGAATATTCAGTACATGACTGCGATTATAAAATATTGTGAATTAGTATATTAAATAATATATATATATATATATATATATATATATATATATATATATATATATATATATATATATATATATATACAGTAGTACCCCGATTTACGCTGTCAATTGAACCCACAGGGTACCGCAGAAAGTGAAAACCGCGTAAAGTGAACAACAGAACATATGGGATTAATTCCAATAGAGACTGGCCCGACCCCCAAACTCCACTTTTTCCGACACAATACCTATGTTGTAGTAAAAATAACATCTAAATTTTATGATGGTATGCTCACACAATTAATATTTAAGAGAAATACAGTCGCCAGGTTAATGTCCATTCAAATAATAGACTCAAATCCCACCTCCCCCCCTCTTCCCAGCTCACTAGCTCCTACCTCTCTGATTAATGTTTGGGTGAAAACTCTAGATTTTAACGTTTAGTAATAAATAATACCTCAGACGAAAGTTAGGATAATATAATTGACATTTCTGGATTCCTTGCAGGTCAGGGAATATTTTGAATGTAAACTTCATATATTCTGCACAAAGGATAAAATATTTGCTTTGTGTAAACCAAATTATTACATTAGCTCTAAAATTTGTATGTCTAAAGCAAAATCCATGATGTTTATATTCAAAATGATCATCATATTGTAAGAATTCCAGCAATGTAAATTATATTCTGGCCGGGAAATTTGTATGAATTTTATGAGCTAAATGAAAAAAAAAAATTGTACTTCACCGCGTATATGAGTAGATGCACCGTGGAAAGCGAAAGTCTGGTTCTGGCAAGGTACCACGTAAATGAGAAATCGCGGAAAGTGAAACTTTGTAAAGCAAGGTAATACTGTACTCACCCCTGAAGATGTGAATTACATGAAAGCGTTTGGGAACTTCGTGTTTTCTTCTTTCCTTGTGGTTATCAGCATATACCTAGATCACACGCACCTACAGTGATTTACTTGCATATATATATATATATATATATATATATATATATATATATATATATATATATATATATATATATATATATATATATATATATATATATATATATATATATATATATATATATATATGCAGTAAAAGTCCAAAAATCCGGATGCCAAAAATCCGGACCACCCGAGAATCCGGACTTTTCGAAAACTTTCAAACTTTTTAAATTTAGCGGGCTTTTGTGGGTTACGTGAATGAATGGAGTTGTTTTAAAAAAAATTAATTTACATAATTCTAATAATAAAAGTAATTGTAAATTATAAGTAGCTAATTTTGCTAGTTTTGTAATTAGCTTGTCCTGAAATGTAAAATTTGAGGCACTATAAATCTTTTGTGTATATGTGTGCATGCGTGAACGCCACAGCTACACAGCGACAACAAGCGACCACTCGATCGATCGCTACTTTAGAACAAGCAATCAAACTGTAACAACGTATGTAATTTTGAGTCCTACTCTTTCCATTTACAAGCCCATAATAATGGCTCCTAAAGTAGATAAGCTTCGTTGTGTGAAGAGAAAGAAGAACACATTGAAATTGAGTGACAAACTTGAAATACTTAAGAAACTAGAACGTGGTGTGAGCAATGCTGTTCTCATGGAAACATACGACATTGGAAAGTCAACAATTTATGATATAAAAAAGGCAAAGAATAAAATTCTAGAATTCACAACTTCTTCTGAGCCTTACAATAAAATTGCTGAAAGAAAAAGTTTACATCGGCCCAAATTAGAAAATCTTGATAAAGTGTTGCACGAATGGTTTTTGTTAAAACGATCAGAAGGTATAGCAATTTCTGGGCCGATGCTTATTGCCAAAGCAAAGTCTTTTAAGGAGCAAATGAACATTGAATCAGAGTGTGCATTTAGTGATGGATGGCTTAGGAATTTCAAGACTCGTCATGGTATTAGACAGTTAGATATTGCTGGAGAAAGACAGTCGGCTGATACACAAGCAGCAACAAAATATAGTGCAACATTTGAAAAATTTTTAAATGACTATGATCTCACAGCCGATCAAATTTGTAATGCTGATGAAACAGGGGTTTACTGGAAGTGTTTGCCCACAAAAACTTTGGCTGGAAACCAAGAACGAAATGCAACAGGTTTTAAGCTTAATAAGGAAAGATTAACCGTTCTTCTATGTGCTAATGCTTCAGGTCAGCATAAAATTAAGCTTTTGGCGATTGGCAAATTTAAGCGCCCACGGGCCTTTAAAGGAATTGTGCACTTGCCTGTGACCTATAAAGCCCAAAAGAGTGCTTGGATGGACAAAGACATATTTCACGATTGGTTTGTTCATGATTTTGTTCCATCAGTTCGTCAGAACTTAAGGAAATTGGGGAAGCCTGCAAATACAAAGTGCCTGCTACTTCTCGACAACTGTAGGGCCCACCCGCATGAATCAAAATTAGTCTCTGATTGCGGGAATATTTATGCATGTTACTTGCCACCAAACGTAACATCATTGATTCAACCCATGGATCAAGGAGTCATTAGGAACTTTAAATGTCACTATAAAAATGATTTTATGACGAAAATGATGAATGAGAATGTCAACCCTACAGAATTTCAACGCAGTTTTACGATCAAGGATGCAATATTTTCACTCGTGACTGCCTGGAATGCAGTCACGAGTGAAACACTTTTAAGAGCGTGGCGAAAGTTGTGGCCGAAAGTGATGTTTGCAGATCTAGTGTGTGATCAAGACAAAGATTTTGAAGGATTCCACATAAAGCAGAGGGCATCTGAAGTGCAAGAACTGATGGAGACTGTTAAATTATCTCTGGAAGACAACCCTCTACGCAAGCTTAATGCTGCTGACATAGAAGAGTGGATACACATTGACGATGATATTGAAGTTGCATCCACTTTCACTGATCAAGAAATCATTCAAAGCATTACAACTCCTGAGAAGATAGAAGAGAATTGTTCAGAAGAATCTGGTGAAGAAGACGACAAAGTTGAAGAAAAGATATCTTGGGCTGCTGCAGAAAAGGGCATTGAAACAGTTATTAAATTTGTGGAACAGAACCATGGCTTCAGTCTTCAAGACGTCATGCATGCACACATGGTGCAGAATAATCTTATCACAAAGAAATTACAAAGTCGTAAACAAGGTGATATACGAAAGTATTTAAAGAAAGCAGTGTCAAGCAGTGCAGCAGATGCAGTAGAAGCTGCAAGTGTTCCACCCACAAGCAGTGCAGCAGACGATACACATGTACAGTAGAAGTCGTGGAAATCAACGAATAAATATTTATTTGTTGTTTTGTACTTTGTATTTATAGGAAAATGTTTCGTTAATAAACTACAAATAAATAATCAATTTGTATAAAATAAATTCTGCTTTCATTTGTTTACTGTATTTTTGCTTTTACAATGTTCATTTTTAAACATGATTTCAAGCATTACACGCCCCTTTTTTCGTAGTGAAAAATGTTTGTTTACATTTTTGTCAAGTGTTGACTTTATTTTTCTTTAAAACTGCTCATTTTGATAAATGAAGCATGCTGTATTTGCAAATGAATAAACTATCAAAATGTACCTGTTCATCTCTTCTTTATTCCTCCTTAAATTTGAATTTTAAAAGTACTGCCTGAGAATCCGGAAAATCCGAAAATCCGGACCGACCCAATCCCCAAGCAGTCCGGATTTTTGGACTTCTACTGTAGTATATATATATATATATATATATATATATATATATATATATATATATATATATATATATATATATATATATATATATATATATATATATATATATGTAATATTCAGAAATTTCAGAGTAATTTCAAATGCCCTGCCATGAGTGATACTGAGCGTTCAAGGTCATCTGAGGGGAGGAGCTGCCTGCTCAGAGTTAGAGATTGCGGAACTAGGCCTATATGATATTGAATGTCATTTACCGAATTAATAATGATGCGATTCATGAAGTTAAGGGACTATTATTGAAT